GGATTGTTAGGGACACTGTGACATATAACAGTGTGAAATAATAGTGTTATTAAGTTACAATAACACTAATCCCTTTAGGTTTGGATGCAGACTCAAAATTCCATATTCTTAGTAATAGAGAAAAGTACTATTGAGTTTAAACCATAGCAGCAATATCAACATAGCAAACCATAAAGGGCTTTTTAAAAATTTATTTTCTTGAAGTATAGCTGACTTACAATGTTGTGTTCATTTCTGCTACACAGCAAAGTGATTCAGTTATCCATATCTGTACATTCTTGTTCATATTCTTTTCCATTACGGTTTATCACAGGATATTGAATATAGTCCCCTGTGCTCTACGGTAGGACCTTGTTGTTGATCCATTCTATGTATACTAGTTTGCACCTGCTAACCGCAAGCTCCCAATCCATCCCTCCCCCTTGGTGACCACAAACCTGTTCTCTAGGTCTGTGAGTCTGTTTCTGTTTTGTAGATAAGTTCGTTTGTGTCATATTTTAGATTCCACATAGAAGTGACATCGTATGGTATTTGTCTTTCTCTTTCTTATTTAACTTAATACGATCATGTCTAGGTCCATCCATGTTGCTGCAAACGGCATTATTTCATTCTTTTTTATGGCTGAGTAATATTCCATTATATGTATATACCACATCTTCTTTTTTTAGAAGATTTATTTTATTTTTGGCTGCCTCGGGTCTCAGTTGTGGCACGCGGGATCTTTGTAGAGGCATGCAGGATCTTCATCGTGGCGTGTGGTTTTCTCTTCTCTAGTTGTGGCGCGCAGGCTCCAGGGCACGTGGGCTCTAGTTGAGGTGCACAGGCTCACTAGTTGTGGCACGCGGGCTTAGTTGCCCTGCGCCATGTGGGATCTTAGTTCCCCGACCAGGGATCGAACCCGCGTCCCCTGCATTGCAAAGTGGATTCTTTACCACTGGACCACCAGGGAAGTCCCTGTACCACATCTTCTTTATCCATTCATCTGTTGACGGACATTTAGGTTGTTTCCATGTATTGGCTATTATACATACTGCTGCTGTGAACATAGGGGTGCATGTACCTTTTTGAATTATAGTTCTGTCTGGATATACGCCCAGGAGTGGGACTGCTGGATAATATGGCAACTCTATTTTTAGTTTCTTAAGGAACCTCCATACTGTTCTCCACAGCGGCTGCAAGTTACATTCCCACCAACAGTGTAGGAGGGCTCCCTTTTCTCCACACCCTCTCCAGCATCTCTTGTTTGTTGATTCTTTTAATGATGGCCACTCTGACTGATGTGAGGTGATATCTCATTGTAGTTTCGATTTGCATTTCTCTAATAATTAGCAATGTTGAGCTTTGAAAAAAGAGTTTTGACCTTTCTCAAGGCCACCGCCATTTGAATCATGGTACACCTTTGCTTTTGCCAGGAGGACCAATTCTAGGCAAATCTGTAAAGTAGACATTTGTCTTTTAAACCCCCAATCTCGTTGCTAGTGATTTTAGGGGGGTCAAGGTTTAGAGTCTTAAACCAAAGGGGTACAATGTCAAGAGTACACTGATGGTGGGCCAGCGTGGTAGGGGGCTCTCCTGGGCTCCACAGGTTGGCGGGGGCACCAGTCTCGTGCTTTCAAAGTGAATGGTGGGGACTCCCCTGGCGGTTCAGTGGTTAAGACTTCGCCCTCCAATGCAGGGGGTGCGGGTTCGATACCTGGTCAGGGAGCTAAGATCCCACGTGCCTCGTGGCCAAAAAACCAAAACATAAAACCGAAGCAATATTGTAACAAGTTCAATAAAGACTTTAAAAATGGTCCATATCAAAAAAAAAAAAAAAAAAATCTTAAAAAAAAAACCCAAAGTGAATGGTGGCCTGTGGAATTCTGCAATGCCAGCACCCTTCTTTCCTCAACACCCTGAAATCAAGTTTCCTTTCCCTCGCACATCGGGGTCATCCTCTCCTAAGCTTACTTCATTGTTTGCATTGGGTATGAATAGGAAGTGATCTAACAAGTCAGCATATCCTTTTCACAAGAGGAACTGAAAGGTTTTACTCTGAAAATCTAGAGGTTTTTAACATGCATATTAGTCCAATTCCACCTGTGTGAAGTGGCCAGATATTTTTCCCCATTGATGTTTCCTTATAAGAGTTCCATAAAATATCTCTAAAGATGTGAAGGCCACACATATCTGAAATCTGATGGCATTATACCCTGCACTGAACATCTTAGTGGACTACAAGTCAAAAGAGCAGGGACTTCCGTGGTGTCACAGTGGTTAAGAATCCGCCTGCCAATGCAGGGGACACGGGTTCAAGCCCTGGTCCGGGAAGATCCCACGTGCTGCGGAGCAACTAAGCCCGTGCGCCACGACTACTGAGCCTGCACTCTAGAGCCCGCGTGGCGCAACTACTGAAGCCCACGTGCCTAGAGTCCGTGCTCCGCAACAAGAGAAGCCACCGCAATGAGAAGCCCGCGCACCGCAACGAGAGGAAGCCCCCCCACAGCAACAAAGACCCAACGCAGCCAAAAATAAATAAATATATATATTTTTTTAAAATTAAAAGAGCAAGTGTTTAGAAATACTTAGAAACTTCACAGACTTCTAAGGAACATTTCACAGACACGTAGTCCAATTTTTAGTGTGTGGATGTAATTAAATCCCTTTAATGTTTATATACATATGACAAGACCAAAATAATAAATTGTCCATTTCACGCCACCCTTTCTGTGAAATACTGTTAACACTATTACACCATAAAATTTTGCGGGGGCGGGGGGGACTTTTTACTGGGCCTGGCTACCCAAGTGCTCTGGAGAAAATAGCCAACCCATTTACGTGATCATTAACTAATCTGGGGAATGTGTACATGTAACTGCGTTTCTAAAAAAGGCAGATAAACTGTGCACCCAGTGGCAACTTACATGGGACTGTGGCTGATTCTTGGTAGCTGATCCAAGCGTGAATGCGGCCGGTGGTACTACTGGAGTGAGACGGGGGCAGTGGCCTCACTTCATTACTCAACTTGCCAGTTTCTCTTTCACTGGGCTATAATGGATCAGAAAGTCAGAGTCTGTCAAAGAGAAGCTGCAAAATTACCCTAGGAATAGGAGACAGTGGGTTAGCAACCCCCTACAAGCAAGACTCTCTTCTTCTGTATCTTACAAATTTCCCTTCCCATTTTACCCTTCCTGCCCCCAAAAAAGTTAGTTCAGGACAATTGTGGACACCCTAGACAGAAGATAAATACAGTCCATTCTCGTTATTCACACTAGTTACACTCCATGAACTCACCAGGAACACTGGCTAATCGTGAACCATTGCTCGTCAGGGAAATACACACACACACACACACACACACACACACCCACACACACACACCCCACACACATAGATTATAATCTTAAATCCTAAAAATAAGTCATCCTGGTTGATTGTATTTTCTTTATTTTATAAACAAGAAAAGGAGGTTTCGAAGTGTGAAGTGATTTGGCTGAGGTCGCCCCACTAACACATGCTAGAGCGGGGGCTCAGACCCAGTGTAACTGGCTGCAGAGCCGGCACTTCCTGCTTAGTGCTGTGCCACTTCTGTTGTCCCCATCCTGTGGTTCCACGAGAGCTGCAACAAGAAGGCGGAACGTGTCTTGTTCAACCGCAGCTGGGTGCTGGCTCATTTTTTTTTCACGCTCTGAGCCTGTCTGCAAATGGATGTGAAAAGGCCCCAAGTATTGATGTGGAGGCCAGAAACGAATTTTTAAATGTTTGCAAGGAGGTCTGTTAAATCCATCATACTCCAATAAAGATGTTTTAAAAAATAAAATAAAAAGACATTGCTAGGGCTTCCCTGGTGGCGCAGCGGTTGAGAGTCCGCCTGCCGATGCGGGGGACGCGGGGTTCGTGCCCCGGTCCGGCAGGATCCCACATGCCACGGAGCAGCTTGGCCCGTGCGCCATGGCCACCGGGCCTGCGCTCCTCGGCGGGAGAGGCCACAACAGTGAGAGGCCCGCACACCGTAAAAAAAAAAACAAAAAACAAATGTACATAGTTTCTGTATGGCAAAATATCAAATTTTAGAGCATTTATTGAATATGATGATATAAATTATATGTATGTACCCATTATATGTATATATATTATTTTCACAAAAGGTCATAATAAAGTTTATATCATTCTAAAATTTATGCTTTGCTAGTTAAATACAGCAAAGCATCTGGAAAACTACCCTTATATTCTTATCAGAGGTCAGCTTTAGAAAGCAGGATTAATCATGGAGATATTTATGTTGCACCATTGTGTTTTGGAAAAAACATTGATATTACAAGTTAAATTATACGAGGAAGAGAGAAAAATATAATTTTAATTAAATGTAAATTATTATGTACATGGTTTTATAAGGGAATTCAAGTGTCAAAAAGAGCTCTTGAGAAATATACCTGTAAAAAAAAAAAAGAAAAAAAAAAAAGACCCTCCTCTCAGCCGTGTTCGATCACATTACCCTCTGTGATTTCCTTTACACACGTCACGATCTGAAATTTTTATTTCTTTCTTGGCTTGTTCAGCCTGTTGTCCTTCGCTTAGATGTAAATTCTGTGATAATGGGAACTTTGTCTCTCTTGGGTCACAGTGTATGCCCAGCACTTGGAATGCTGGCTCATACACTCTGGGAACCCAGTTGCTGTTATTTGAATGAATAAGTGAATGGAAAGGTGAATGGGTCAACAGTGGTATGTAGCTCTTTCAAAGTGAAGGCTGCAAGTGTATTCTGAGGACAGTCATCGCTTGAGCTTGTGTGACGTCGGCTATGGTACTTCCAGTCTCCGAAAAGGTGTTCGTTAGGGCCTTAAAAAAGGGTGATAACTCCGGAAAGAAGAAATAAGTTCTGAAAGAATTGGGATTAGATCTCACTTCAGAAGAATTTAATTTAGAGTATTTTGCAAAGAGACAAAGTTAGTACTAAAGACTAGGAGACAACGGTGGGTAGGATGACGCATTTCGCGGCAAGAAAGGAAGCTGTAGGGACTTCCCTGGTGGTCCAGTGGTTAGGACTCGGTGCTGTCACTGCCGAGGGCCCAGGTTCAATCCCCTGGTCGGGGAACTAAGATCCCACAAGCCGCATGGCACGGCCAAAAAAGAAAAGAAAGGAAGCTGTAACTCCAGATGTAGAGAAGATACATGGTGAGCACATGGCTGAGGCCATCACACAGATGAGGTGAGACTGACCGAATTTCTCCTCATGAGGGGCTGATGTGATATTTACTCATGGGTGCAGTGAAGGTGAGAAAAAACGTAGCAGGGAGCAGCCTGAAATGGGAAGAGGGCTCAGTTTTAAGCTATGTTTTGTCCTGCGATGTGAAGGGCTCTATAGGATAAGCACCCTATTTCCATGTGGTCCAGAGGTGGTATACAGCAGTTGCTACCACTGGCCATCATTCCTAATTCTCTCCACCCCCCTTGTCTTTAGGTTAAGGACCAAGAAGGAGACTTATGACACAAAGGTAGAAGTGTAGGTCTGTAAAAGAAGGTTTGGAGGTTGTTTCTTGAATCCTTAGATTGGTCCTACTCAAAGCACTTCCATCAGCCTTCGTGGTTTCTGAATCAAAAGATGTGAATCAGAAATAAAAGCTAAAATCATAACCAGGAGCTGCCAGCTTCCAAACCAAAACTGGGAACTGGAAACACCTGAACACACTGCAAGTAACCAATAAACCCTGCCATATTTTAATTAATAGCCCGTATAAGAAATGAAGTCCAACGAAATCATTAACTTTTTTTTTTTTAAGTGACACATGAAACAGCACAACTGTGGAAAACTTCTTTGTACTGGAAGGATTTTAGAAATATAGGCTAGCAATCAACTCATTTTATTGTACCTTTTGGAATATAAGAATGGTAGGGTTACAGATATTTGGAAGCTTCATCAAAGTGGGAAAAGAGATTCAACTTTCCCAGTTTCAAAGGAAGGTCGCATCTGTATTCTTTGAAAGATCTAAGGATAATACTTGACCTAAAATGATCAGATGAGGGCTTCCCTGGTGGCCCAGTGGTTGAGAGTCCGCCTGCCGATGCAGGGGACACGGGTTTGTGCCCCGGTCCGGGAAGATCCCACATGCCGCGGAGCGGCTGGGCCCGTGAGCCATGGCCGCGGAGCCTGCGCGTCCGGAGCCTGTGCTCCGCAAGGGGAGAGGCCACAGCAGTGAGAGGCCTGCGTAACGCAAAAAAAAAAAAAAAGAGAGAGATGATATTCCCCAATTTCTGGGAATTTATATTTTGGGACGACGGTGGTTGCAGTATCAGCTTTCTCAAAACATATCTGGCTCAACAAAGTAGATTTCAGCCCACTGTGTCGGTAAAACAAACGTATTCATCGTAAATATCGATTAGTCAGAATTTGGATTAAATTGAACCGCACGTTATGATGGCGACTGAGACACTTTTCCTACCGTAGAGTAACCCAAATTGCAATGATTTTGAGAGTGAAATAGATCCCAAACTAAATCATAGTCTCTTAACAAAACTACGTCCCAATGCAGACAATACTACCATAGATCTGTCTGTGGCTTCATAATGTAAGTCATTTCCCCATATCTTATTCCTCATATATTGTGGTATTGTATTTACCACAAAAATCCCACTTGACTGAGAGAGCAGATAATATTCACCTCATTTTACAAAATAGGACAACTTAGAAACGGACATACTCCTCGACTTTCTCAGTATCATCCTACGAGCAGAGCTCGTACTCCGTACCACATTTCATGGCACCTACTTTAGAGTTACTAGCAGGGTCTTACTAGGTTCAGTCAAAACCAGAATATCTTCTTTTTCTTTTGGGGGGGGGGGGGATAGTTGTTTTACAATGTACAATGTTGTGTTAGTTTCTACCATACAGTGAAGTGGAGTTCCCTGTGCTATACAGCAGGTTCTTGTTAGTTATCTATTTTATACATATTAGTTAGTATATATATGTCAATCCCAATCTCCCAATTTATCCCACCTCCCCTTCCCCCCCCTTGGTGTCCATAGGTTTGTTCTCTACGTCTCTGTCTCTATTTCTGCCTTGCGAACAGGTTCATCTGTACCATTTTTCTAGATTCCACATATATGCGTTAATATATGATATTTGTTTTTCTCTTTCTGACTTGCTTCACTCTGTATGACAGTCTCTAGGTCCATCCACGTCTCTGCAAATGACCCAATTTCGTTCCTTTTTATGGCTGAGTAATATTCCATCGTATATATGTACCACATCTTCTTCATCCATTCATCTGTGGATGGGCATTTAGGTTGCTTCCATGACCTGGCTATTGTAATAGTGCTGCGATGAACATTGGGGTGCATGTGTCTTTGAGTTATGAAAACCAGAATATCTTTAACCAGAGAATATGTTAGCAGCCACATCAAAACCTAAGGACCTCACAATATGGTCAGTTGAGTTTTGACCAAGTGCTAAGACACTTCAGTGGAGGAAAGAATAGTCTTTTCAATAAATGGTGCTTAGGCAACTGGATATCCATAAATATAAGGATGAAGTTGGACCCCTACTTCTCATAATAATAGACAAAACTTAATTTAAAATGGTTTGTAGACATAAGTGTAGGAGATAAAACTTCTAGAGGAAAACTGAGGTATAAATCTTCATGACCTTGGATTAGGTTTCTTAGCTACAACACGAAAAGCACAAGTGACAGTGGAACAAGAGATAAATTAGACTCTGTCAAACTTTAAAACTTTTGTGCTTCAAAAGTCACCACCAAGAAAATGAAAAGACAACCCACAGAATGGGGGAAAAGATTTGCAAGTCACATAGCTCACAAGGGACTTGTATCCAGAATATATAAAGAAATCATACAGTTCAACTATATAAGACAAATGGCCCAATTACACAATGAGCAAAGGATATGAATAGTCTTATCTCTAAATTAGATACACATATGGCCAAGAAGCACATGAGAAGATGCTCAACATCATGAGCCATCAGGGAAATGCAAATCAAAACCACAGTGAGGGGCTTCCCTGGTGGCGCAGTGCTTGAGAGTCCGCCTGCCGATGCAGGAGACGCGGGTTCGTGCCCCGTTTCGGGAGGATCCCACATGCCGCGGAGCGGCTGGGCCCGTGAGCCATGGCCGCTGAGCCTGCGCGTCCGGAGCCTGTGCTCCGCAAATGGGAGAGGCCACAACAGTGAGAGGCCCGCATAACGCAAGGAAAAAAAAAAAAAAAAAAAAAAAACCACAGTGAGATGCCACTCCACACTCACTAGGATGAATAAAACAAAAAAGACAGACAGTATCAAGTGTTGGCAAGGATGTGGAGAAATTGGAAGCCTCACATACTTCTTGTTGGAATATAAAATGATGCGGCCCCTTTGGAAAACCGTTTGGCAGTTCCTCAAAAAGTTAAACACAGAATTAACATGTGACCCAGCAATTCTACTCCTGTACTCAAGAAGAATGAATACATATGCGCACACAAAAATTTATACGTGAATGTTCATAGCAGTATTGTTTATAGTCACTAAAATGTAGAAGCACCCCACGTGTCCATCTACTAGAGAATATGGATGAACAAAGTGCGGTATATTTGCTTAAATGGAATAATATTTGGCATAAAAAGGGATGGAGCACTGACACATGCTGTGACTTGGAGGAATCTTGAAAACGTTATGCTAAGTGAAAGAAGCCAGACAGAAAGGATCGCATATTGTTTGATTCCATTTTTATGAAATGTCCAGAACAGGCAAATCCGTAAAGAGACAGAACATAGATTAGTGGTTACCTAAGCCTTGAAATGGGGTGGGTAGCAAGAATGTGGAGTTACTGCAAATGGGTATGGGAATTCTTTAGGGGATATTGAAAGTTTTCTAAAATTAGATTGTGATGATGATTATAGAACTCTGAATACACTCAAACCCACAAGCCGTACACTTTAAATGGGTGAATTTTATGATATGCGAAGTATATTTCAGTAAGGCTGTAAAAACAAGAAAATCAACACCCTTCCCCCTTAAAAAAAAAAAAACTTAAAAAGACATATTTTTGTATCTGTACAGTCCTGGAAAACCAACAAATCCAATACCTGCGTATTGAGTGCTTGTAATATATCATGATAGCTACTTGCTTCACTACATTTTACCTTGTCTCTTGTTGGAAGATCGTTTTCACTATCTGTTCATTCAACAAATAGTTTTTGAGTGCCTATTCTGTGCCAAATCTGGTGCCAGATGCTTGGGATAGATGCCTCATTTCATACAACAGCCAAAGATCCCTCCCTTTATGGAGCTTGCATCCAATTGGATTTACCTTGATTGTATGTTCAAGTACAGCTTAGCTCTGAGGGCTCATTCTAGGAGATACTTTTCAAGTGTAAGGTGCTATTTTCCAGAAATTTCACTTACTCCATTATAATGGGCCCATGGTTTCAATACGATCCCATCCTTTTCACAGCTCGGTTGTAGTCAGTTATTAAATTCAGTTTGAAGTCAAACGAAATGACAAGAAGTTTCTTGAGAGTAGTGGGGTGTCAAGTAAATATTTCCATAGATAGCTCAACTTATTTGAGAAGCCTCAAGGGGAACTAGAAATGATGACAGAAAAGTAATGGTAAGAGAAATTGAGCCCAGTGATTAACTCCCTTGAGATATTAGCCTGAGTTCCACGTTCTGTGCTTGGCCATCAGTGCATTCTTAATTCTTTCTTTTGTTTATGAAACATTTAGCAAGTATGTCTGTGTGCTAATCTGACATAAGACATGATCTCATAGTTCGCTGCAAATGGCCAGTGACCACCATCTCCTCAATAAGGCAGTATCTTGAGTTGTCTCTCTGTCCTGTCGTACAGTGATCAGGAATAAAACTCAAGGAATCCTGGTCTCTGGAAACAGGACATGATTTCTCTGAACAGCCCTCAGCGAATTTTTATTCTGAACTCCTGACCCCCCTTCCGGTTTGTGTCATTCATAGAGATTGAAATTACTCCAGTTAAAGAAAGTATCCCTAATCAAAAGGGCTTAGTGACTGGGCCATGTCTCCTCCCTGAGTTATACTGGAGTAATCAGTGCTATTGTCATTCTCTGTATCACTGCAAGCTTCTCCTGCGCTGT